GTACGCGGGCCTCTCACTGCTGTGGCCTCTCCCGTTGCGGAGCACAGGCTCCGGACGCGCAGGCTCAGCGGCCATGGCTCACAGGCCCAGCCGCTCCGCGGCATGCGGGATCTTCCCGGACCGGGGCACGAACCCGTGTCCCCTGCATCGACAGGCGGGCTCTCAACCACTGCACCACCAGGGAAGCCCCCCAAAATTTTTTCTTAATACAACATGATACAATGAAAAGTGCCTAGAGTGTTGGTTCCCAAACTTTGCTGAACATGAAAATCACCTGGGCAGCTTTGAAAAACCCTGGCTCTCAGGCCTCACTGCAGGCCAATTAAATCAGAGTGTCTGGGATGGGAGTAAGGTATCAGTATTATTCACAGACCCCCAGGTGATTCCACTGTACAGGCAAGTTTGGAAACCACTGGCCTAGAGAGAGGGACTCCTGGGTTCATAACTCTCCTTCCCCAGAGGCTCCTGGTGAGACCCTTGCAGCAGCTTCTTGCCTTCCTCAGGCTCAGTTTTCTCATCTGTAAAATGATGCAGTGCTGTAGTGCTGAAATTATATTTAATTTCACAAATCACTCACTCAAAGCTCAAGAATTAGAGACATATATGAAACCTAATTGACCCCAAAATTACTGGAAGAAATAACAGCTTTGATTTAGAGAACAGAAATAGTGCTAAATTCATGAAGATGTTCCCAAGCTCCCAGATGCTCATTCTACTACACATTGTATTGCAAGTAATCTATAGAAGATTCATGACCAGGTCACATTTCCCCTGAATAGTATCCAGTAGAAACACACATCACAGCATATTAAAATAAAGAATACATATATCACCCCCGTTTTTTTCTTTTCTGGCCTTTATCTATGAAACCAGTTACCTGCATTGTGATGAGCAGGAGTCCTTGCAGGTATTGCATCCAGGGAAAATCATGCTGAACTTATATCGGAGATGGCAACCACATGTTTGGCATCATTAGACAAGATAACACACCAAGGACACATTCAGTGTTTACAGAGGGTTGACTATCAACAGGAAACTACCGTTTCAGATGATTTATGAGTTATTAATAAATCAGGTCTCCACCCCAATTATATGTTTACCCTTACTTTTCCCACCCCTGATATGCATTTGCCCTTGATGTGAAAGAGCAGAGGAAGAGAACTCCCTTTCCTGAGCCTCCCCCTTGTGCTGAGTGGGTGATTAGGCACAGGGCATGTTATCTTGTTTGATTTCACACACAAAGAAAAGGAGGCTCAAGGATGCCAATCACACAGCCAGCTGGGCTTCAAGAAGGGGCATAAGAATAGTTCAGTGGTGAAGCTGGGCTTCAAGAAGGGGCATAAGAGTAGTTCGGTGGTCAGCCCAACAGGTGCCCTGAAAGTCTATTTTGAAAGAACAGAAATTCCCCAAGCCACTCTCCATGGCTTGAGGACACAGCACCCCACAGCCAGGTTTCCCTGGACAGCCTGGATGTTCTAAATCTCCTCTTCAATCTTAAGTCTGCTCCCAACTACATCAAGCAAGCTTTCCTTCTCTTTCTTCAACCATGATCTTTCGAAAAGCCCTGCATGCCCAGGATGGCCTTTGGTGAGTGGCAACAAACAGAACCTCTTGGTACATTTGAGGGACTTACCATTTTATTAGTTTGCCCAGGCTGCCATAACAAAATACTTTAGACTGGGTTGCTTAAACAACAGAAATTTATTTTCTCACAGCTCTGGAGGCTAGAAGTCTGAGATCAAGGCATTGGCAGGATTGGTTTCTTCTGAAGCCTCTCTCTTTGGCTCGTAGATGGCTGTCTTCTCCCTGTGTCTTCACGTGGTCTTCCCTCTAAGCATATCTATGTCCTAATCTCCTCTTCTTACGAGGACACCAGTCACAATGGATTAGAGCCCAGCCTAATAATGACCTCATTTTATTTTAATTACCTCTTTAAAGCCCCTACCTCTAATACAGTCACTTTCTGAGGTACTGGGGCTTAGGATTTCAACATATGAATTTGAGGGTAACACAGTTCAACCCATAACATCATCTTATCCCCAAATGTTCCCCCTACAGCTTGCCACGGTGCCTAAAATTTCACCCTGTGTTTGCCTCTACAAACAGACGCTCAGGCCTCTTAACCAATTGGCTCTCAAAGCTCTTCAGAGCTGGCCATGGTGATCTTTTCCAGTGCCATCCTCTACCTCCCCTAAAATAAGTCTTTGGGGTAGCTCTCCTGCTCCCTTGAGGGGTTGCCTCCCCTCTCACCAGCGATGCCATAGAAGTGCTGTACACTTCTGCTTTCACCTCATATGTTTAAACTGCCCGCTGCCGCCTCTGAGTTCCTGGAAGTCAGGGGCACATTCATCATGGTTCGTGGCCCCTCGGTTTCTTTTGAAACACAGAGTTTGAAGAATTTCACATGATGTGAGTCCCATTACACCAAAGTAGCATCTATGACTTGCTGTCCTAGCATCCTTGTCACAGGTGTGTGACCTCAGTTCCATAATCAGACACATGGAGCAGGACCTCCTTACAGAGGATGCCTGGAAACTGCTATCACACAGAGTCCCCCAGGAATGATGGCGGGAGTGGATGCTGCTCCGAGGGCGAGGGTGTCCAGAGTCCAGTGTGCAGTGTCAGTGGCATGAGCGGCAGTGACTATGACCAGGGGCAGTGAGGTCTTGCTGGAGCAGTGAGGTTTGGGGAGTCTATCTGGCCTCATGGCAACCAAGCCTATGTCTCTGGCCTTCCACAAAGCCTGTGAGCTGCCTGACATCTTTAATAAATTCCTCTCCTGCTCCCACAGACTACAGCAGGTTTGTTGTTTGCAACTAAGAACTTTGTGACCAAGTTAGTGACCACAACTTATTCCTGTCCATGTTCCTCCCAATGACTGACCCAGTGCCTGGCACTGAGCAGCCATGCAGGATAGAATCACACCTGGTAAAGAAGATGTGGCACATATATACAATAGAATATTACTCAGCCATTAAAAAGAGTGAGGGCTTCCCTGGTGGCACAGTGGTTGAGAGTCCGCCTGCTGATGCAGGGGACACGGGTTCATGCCCCAGTCCAGGAAGATCCCACATGCCACGGAGCGGCTGGGCCCGTGAGCCATGGCCGCTGAGCCTGCGTGTCCTGAGCCTGTGCTCCACAATGGGAGAGGCCACAACAGTGAGAGGCCCGCGTATACGACAAAAAAAAAAAGAAAAAAAAAAAAAAGAGTGAAATAATGCCATTTGCAGCAACATGGACAGATCTAGAGACTGTCATACTGAGTGAAGTAAGTCAGACAGAGAAAGAGATATATTGTATGATATCGTGAACTTACAAAACAGAAACAGACTCACAGACTTACAGAACAAACTTATGGTTACCAGGGGGGAAGGACGGAGGGAAGGGATAGTTAGGGAATTTAGGAATGACATGTACACACTGCTATATTTAAAACGGATAACCAACAAGGACCTACTCTATAGCACAGGGAATTCTTCTCAATATTATATAACAACCTAAATGGGAAAAGAATTTGAAAGAGTAGATACATGTATGTGTATAACTGAATCACTTTGCTGTACACCTGAAACTATCACAACACTGTTAATTAACTACATTCCAATATAAAATTAAAATTAAAAAAAAAAGAATCACACCTAGTGATTCCAGGTATTCCAGAGCCGGAAAAAGACCCTGACATTGTCAGTCAACGGCATAACTAGAGGTGCTCGTCTGCTGTTCCCTAGGTGCTGGGAGGAAGGCAGTCCCTACAGGTGCCCAGAGGAGCCAAGCTGTGGCTTCTCATGGGGGAGGGGGCTGCCCACAAGGAGGGGGAGGAAGGAACACTAAAATGAGCACTCCTCAGATGGCACTGCAGCCTGCTCTGCCCAAACCTGCCTGACTGATTTTCACTGATCCTATTTCAACTTTCATCTTTATAGACTGTACGGGCCTTTATTTATTTATTTTACACTTTTACACACACACACACACACACACACACACACATGCACAGTGGTAGAAAAAAAGAGAACATGGAGATAAGCAAAAGAAATTCTGTGAAAAAAGAAATTTTTTTTTTTGGCCACGCCATGAGGCATGTGGGATCTTAGTTCCCCAACCAGGGATCAAACCCGGACCCTTGGCAATGAGAGCGCGGAGTCCTAACCACTGGACCACCAGGGAATTCCCTCTGTGAAGTTTTTAGAAAAAATTCTGTGGTTGTCCTGTCCAAAGAGAGCTACTGTCAACATTTTGGAGGCTTTCCTTTAAGAGCTTTCTAGGTATATTTTCATTTAGGAAAGGAAAAATCATAAGCACTTTTTCCACGATAGAACATTGTACATAATACTATACATAGGCTATAGAATGTTGTTATATAATCTGCTTTTCTCATTTAACAATGCTATGACCATCTTTGCATATCAATAAATATACGTCTGATCACTATTTTAATGTCTACATTTTATTTCACTGGAATGGCTGGGCTCTCATTTACTTAATCAACCTCCTCTTGTTGAACACTCAGGTTGTTTCTGACTTTTTTAAAAATTAGGAACACCAAATTAGGAATTTTATCCTTTAGATAAAAATTTCCCCATACTTATGTTACTTTCCTTAGGATATATTTATAAAGGTAGCAATTCTGGGTTGGAGGTATTATTATTTTATTATTTGCTAATCTGAAAGGTGGGAAATGTTACTTTGTTTTAATTTTTGTTGATAATCGGCAAGATTGGACATTTTTGGCATATTTATTTGCTGTATTTCTGCTTTTGTGGGTAGCCCATTCACTTGTAATTTTACCTATTTTTCTGTTTTGATGGTATTGATATTTTTCTTCTGAATGAGTAAATAGGCTCTTAATATATTAAAGATATTAATCTTCAACTGTCACAAATGTTACAAATATTTTCCTCACTTTTTCATAGTCAGAACACTGCCTCTGGAGATTGAACTAAGGAATGAGAAATTTTCCTCATTTCTATTTCTACCTTTAAAGTGATATTTTGACATATAGAGATTTTAAACTTTTACTTAGATCTATCAAGTATTTACTATACAGTTTCTGCTTTTATTTATGTATGATTAATAACTAGAAAGTCATGAGGACTCTTTTGGGGGTGTACCACATTTGAGAACATTTTACTTTTAAATAGATAACACCTGTATCTGATAAAAACATTATTTTAAGAAAAACACTCTTTTCCCAGTCTCTCAGTTCCTCTAGCTAGAACTCCTGGCTATTACCGATTTCTTAAATATCCATCTTCCTAGAGATGGTCTATACATACACGTGTGTGTGCGCATGCATTTTGAAACACCATTCATAGAATATTGCACACACTGTCCTGCATTTTGCTTTTTCAAAAAGCAAAGTGCTCTATTCTTTTTAATACCTGCCTAATATCCTACAGTCTGGCTGTAGGATACCCATTCTCCTATTGATGAGATGGCTATTTAAGTTGCTTCCAAGTTTTGCTTTTACTAACCATGCTGCTACAAATATGCCTCTGAGACCCATTCCCATTAAAAACAAAGACCAAAAAAACCCCTTTTTTATTTTTAAATAATTTAAGACTCAGAAGAAGTTGCAAAAGTAGTACAGAGAGTTTCTGTGTATCATCAGGCAGCTTCTGCCAATGATAACATCTTAAATAACCATGGAACATTTTCAAACCCACAAGAAATTGACATTGGTACAATGTACAATACTAAAACTAAACTATAACTTTATTCTGATTTTATCAGTTTTTATATGCACTTTTTGGTGTGTCCAGTTCCCATTTAACACCATTCCACTTGGCTTTCTGGGCCTTTTCTACCCATGTTACTTTCGAAGCTGGGTGGGGTAAGTGGAGGCACCCTGACACACATGACATCTTACACTGGCTTTGTCACTTGCCCAAAGTAACACTGGACATTGCCTAACCT